CAGTGTCCCTCCAGCCATTCCTCGTTAACTATAACAAGGTATGAGCAAAAAAAAAAAAAAGGGACAACATGAGTGGATAAATACAATAAAAATAAAAGCTGTGTACAATGAAGAGACGTTTCTTTCAAGCTCAACTTAACCGTATGCCCTCACCTTCACGCAAGACATCAATGGTGTCTCCCTCACTGAACTCCAAGTCACCTGGTGCCTGAAGAGTGTAGTCGTACAAGGCCACCATCTTGTACAGGACAGTGTAATCGGTCAAGGGATCTTCCATCTAAAAATGATTGTGAATAAGAATGAGTTATGTTTATTCAATGACATAGATCTTTAAAAAAATGGTAAAGTTATTACTTTTCACCTTAAATATTAGCATAGCAATTTCATTTTTAGTATCTGAAATGAGATTGCTACGCTAATACTGCGGGTTAAAATTGTATTCAACTCCAACGTGTAATAAATGACTCACTTTAACCCTTTCATGCATGACGGTCACCACAGTGGACAGCTATGAAAATGTCATTTTCTATGATAAAGAATAGGTTTTGATGGCAGTGTTGGCATATAAGCCTCTACAGTGGACGCCTGAGGATCACCCAACACTGCCATACAGTGGGCAGCCTTTGCAACTGCAGAATAATTGTGTCAACATTCAAAAAGAAAATTTGTGAAGTGGACAAATTATTTTATTTACGAACACATTCAGGACTGATGCTTGACGAAAAAGGTAGATGGAAAACAATGTGCTGACCTGACACCACACGGTGGCTCTTCCAGTCTCAGTAAACTCCTTCACTGAATCTATCGCTCCAACCAGTGGTGTGAGCACCTTGGAGCCATGTGGCCTATATCTAGTTGAAGGAAAGAAATAATGGATATAACAGTTTGTGGGGTATAATATACAAAAAAATAATGGCATCGTGAGTTAAAACATTGAATAGCAGACTAGTATAAATAAATCTGTACATGGGGAACCCCATGGTAGGCCATGAGACAGGTCATCGGGGATTACAGTAATAGCTTGAGATACAAGCGTCCCGAAGCACATTTTTGCTTTGAGATACGAGTAAAGATCTGAGCTCCGAGCACGCTTACAGAAGCCGACGCTAGGCGGCCGAGCACTCGGTGCAGCCCGTGCAACTTCCATAGGCATCGTGTTTGCGTTATCTCAAGATTTTTTTCTCTCTCTATTTTATGCATTATTCTTCATAATAGTGATGAGTCCTAAGAGAGTGAGTGTTTAGGATGGTAGTGAGAAGAAGAAACGCACGATAACCATGGATTAAAGCAAGAAATTGTCGATAAATATGAGTTAGTGGTGCCCGCTAAAGAAAGAATAAAAATCGTAAAAAAAAAGAACGTAAGTTAAGTTAATTCTAAGTTTATCGAGTTACAAGCTCGGTCCTGGAACGGATTAGCTGCTATCTCAAGGTATTACTGTATAAGCACAAGGACCTTTGAAATGTGAAGAGAGAAGAAGGCCAACTTGTAGAAATGACATGGGGTGTGCTGGTGTGATCGTACCGAAGGCACAGCTGAGATGGGGGCAGGTCCAATTTCTGAGCAACTTTCTCCTTAACTTCCTGGTATGGTGCCGTTTGAGGGACAGATAACTTCACAGTGTATGTGTAATGAACCTTCAGCAGCACAGATGCCTCGTTTTCATTTTGAACCACGCTGGCATCCTGATGAAAAAAAGAAAAAAAAAACCCTTTTGACTAAAAAAAATGCTTTTAACCACCCAGAAAGTATCATTATCAACAATCTCACCACCACATCCTCCAGAAAGTTTGTTACGATGCAAAAGAAATGGTACCCTTTTATACAGTTAAAAAAAAACATTTGTCAGACAGTTAAGTAATATAAAACTAAACATCTGTGTATAAATGTTCTCTCTCTCTCTC